GAGAAAATTCAAGTATTGAGTCGTAAGAAGAAACTAGGAATAACAGATATGTGTGAGTATAACCGACTTCTCCATTCTGCATATCATGAATTATAGTAAACTGAGAAAGGAACATGGGATATTCCTCATTTGTGAGTGTTAAGCGAATTTACTTTATGGGTATAAACAGGGAATGCATCAATTCCGAGACGCATAAAGAGGATATTAGGAGCAGAAACACAGGTAATTTACCTCCCTCTATACTTTGCTATCATTTATTGATAACTGGCTATTCACTGCCAACCTCTTTATACCTTACCATGAAACATATATATACCCATGGATATACATAGATGTATATTACTTCCTTTTATATATGGGATCGGTCCATCTATGATAGAAATAAGAGGTATTAGCCAGGTGTATTATGATGCCCAACTGCTGTTATGGAAGAAGGGGCTACCCAAGAACAAAACGGGATGGAAAAAGAATGGTACCCAAGGTAAACATTCTTAGGCGGAAAGGAGACATAGTTAGTATTATATGCAGATTCAGATTAGAGGAATTTTCATTTGGTATAAAGATTTGCCCCCTAAAATTACACGATTGTTCATGACGTGTCTCATCTATTCATATATATAGGGAGTAATGAAATGTTGAATTTGAACTGGTATAATATCAGTTCTAATTCCATATTGAACTTTAATTGTATGTTGCATACAATTAAAAAGGCTGCTATAGCGTTTAAATGTGTTCATGCCTTTCTCTGGAAACTCCTATAAATGCAATAGAATAAAGATATGGATATCTAATGGGTTCAGCGTGAAATTCTGGGCCTTCTTGTTTATATGGCTTCTTTTATAGTTACCCTATTTTTGTGAATGCGTTTTCATGCCCCACCCTCTTTGTCAGTGTGGTCCTTGATTTTTCGATATTTTCATTAGTATCCCCCCGCAGGTTGCATTCCTCCTGTGTATGTTTTCCCAGGTTTCTGCATTTTTATGAGAGTATTTTTTCATGGCACCTTCTTCCTATATATGCGTATTCATGTGGTATAATTTCGCGAACGTCGTTTCACGTGGGGTAAAATTTCGCGAACGTCGTTTCACGTAGGGTAATTTTGCCAACATAGTTTCAGGTGGCGTAATTTTTCGCGGACCGCTTTCATGTGGCTTCGTTCTGAAAGTTTTTTCATGTGGATCAATTTTTTGGGGGGTCCCCTAATGGGTTATACCGGTCCCATG